AATATCTTATGTTTTGTAGGTTTTGTCTTATATTTTATGCTTTAGCATGTGCAATATATCTTTACAAACCATGGTGATACGCATCTGGTGCCAGTGTTATATTTTGCATAACATTTGTAATAAACAATATAAAAATATTGTTTGATGGTTGCAGTGGGGTTTTGTCGGTATTGTTTGCTTTTGTAAATTGAAGTTTAAGAACTTGGGTAAATGTCACATATGAAATGAGGAAAGAAAACTTAATTCATTGAATTATTTGGAATTCAACCTGAATCTTCTCAAGCACAGTTTAGTAACTTTTTAAACTACTGAATGCTGTATTAATGTAATAAAGAGCCCTAACTGTAAACTACTATTGCAGTGCATTCAGATGGTTATTTTTACAAATAAAAATGGTACAAATACAATGGAAAACTGAGTAAATTTTGTATTTTTGGGGGAGCCGGGGAGGCGTAGGTATTTAGCAGTGGAAATGAAAATGCAACTATTTCGTAGTTCCCTCATGTGTAAATACCCCTTGCTCTGGAAAGCTGGTTTTGTTTTCTATTTAGATTTGGGGAAAGTGGGGGAGCAAAATAAACCGCCAAGTAAATTTTGGTTTTACTCAGTCATTAATTATTTCACTGTTTCCCCTGGCGAGCACCACCCGCTCTGCTGGGCGTGCCCTGCAGCGGGCTGGGGCAGCAATCCCGCAGGGACAAAAATGCAGCCGAAAACTTAAAGATAGCCATAGTCAGGTGTTAAAAGTACCCGAATTAAAGCAAACAAACAAAATCCACAAAAAGGAAAAGAAAAAACCCACAAAACCCCGAAAACAAATGCCCACCGGCGCTTTAGGTAGTGAGAGTCTGCAGCTTTACGGATGTTTATCAGTGAGCCGCTCCCCCCAGTGCAGGGTCCGTGCCCAGCGGGGTGTGTGGGTTTGTTTTCGGCCAGCTGCGCGGCCCGGCTGGCTCCGCCGGGCTTGGACCGGATCCCGAGCCCCCGGAGCGCTGCGGGGCCGAGCGGCCGCGCTCCCTCACGGCCCCGTGCGGCGCCNCTGGAGCCGAGAGCGGTGCATGGGGCACGGGCAGCTGGGGCGTGAGCGGGGCCGGGGCTGGCAGGACGCGCTGCCGTGCCCGCTTCTTGTGGCGGTGCCCCTCGGGGAGAGAGCGGTGGAAGAGCCGCCCACCTGTAACCCAGCGGGGCGTTCCGCGCTGCCAGCGGTGCAAAACCTGCCCGCCATCGAAGCTGCCGGTGCCTGGGGTTGCCTGTAGCTCTGTCAAACGCAGGAGCTCACGCAGGTGTTGGCCGAGGAAGAGGCTGGGCCAGCTCCTCTGACAGCACTGCCCGTGCCCAGGAGGCCGAGCCTTGCACTTCATGGCCCTTTCCGTGACTGCGGAGTGTGAAGTAACCAATGTGTCCAAAAAGCGCATAACTGAGCTTTGACTATTAGTGTTCTTCCCGAGGTGGTGAACAGTGGTGCAAAGTCCTCTCGATAAGCACTTTGGAGGTGGCATGTCCCACAGTGTACACGGTAGAGTTTGTAAATCTGTCTTGAGGTCCCTCTTGTTTTGCTAACAGAGCCTTGTAGAAGTCTCTTTGAAAACCTGGGATCAGTTTGAGAGAGGGGGCTGCTCCTGGAACTGTTTTTTTCCACACACTATTCTGGATTAGTAGTGGAAGGATGTAAATGCATATTTGTAAGTTTGCTGCTAATGCTGCACCATGCAGTTCTTAGAAAACAATTTATCTTTTTGATAGTAGTTCTTACTACAGCATTTTCTTTTATAACTGGTTGATTTCTGAACATTAATTTTTCATTATCTGAGATCTAATCTATGTTAGGAAAAATAGTAGTTATTCTAAATAACACAGTTCAGAGGTAGGTTGAAAGCTGGCTTGCACAGTAAAGAAGATCTAAAAGCAACACTTAAGTGTCTAAATTCATAATGAAACAGAAAGTTAAGTTTTGGGTCTATTAATCTTCATTTGCTAACCTTGATATAGCCATTTTAGCCTACAAAAGAGGACCTTGGTATGGCTACACGGATTGTTTAGTCAGTGCTGTAGAACAAATTCATTTAAGCCGCTATAAATACTTAAATACTATGCAGCAAGTTTTCGGATCTCCTGGTTGCCAAAACCTGCTTCAGCTTCAATCTGAAGCCAACCAACAGGAAGTTACTGGCAAGATTTGTGTGATGTTATTGGCGGGTGCCTGAAACTCTTGTCTGCCACCACATCTTTTGTATTTACTCATTATGTAAGGGCTTAAACTCCCAAACATCTTTAGGCGGGATGCAAGGCTTAGAGGTGAGCAGTAGTTGTGTGCAGAAGATGCAAGTCACAGCTGGCTGCATTGCCCTCTGGTATTTCTGTTTCCTGAGTAATCACTTTTACCGTGCAGAAAACGGTTCTTTGGATTGGGGGGCAAATGGGGAATTCGTTTGGGTTTGCCAAGGTATTGTGCTTTATAAGTAGCTTTTTATTGTTGGAGGTGGCTGTGTAGTGCTGCCTTCACTAGGAAATTGCAGGTTGGGAGTTTCAGGTGGGAGGTACCTGTCCTTGCTTCCAGATTGGTGTCACATTACAGAACAAATAACTGCTTGAGCAATTAAACAAGAGGTGTGATGTCTTTTGCCTCTATCAGTGTGGGTTAGCTCACAGTCAGCCTAGTAATTGATCATCTTCTTTTGCATGAGTTTCAGAACTGCAGTGATTGAATTTAACCTGCCTTTGTCCTGTTCAGCTGTATTGGCAAGAGATTCAGAAGTTAGTAATGAGGACTTGTTCACAAAAACCTAATTTCTTATGGAACCAGGGTGAAAAATGAAGCCTGCACTGACATTTTAAAAAGTTGCTGTAGCTTGCTACAACTTATTACATAAGCAGTATCTTGGGAGTTCACAGTTTAAACCCACTGTCATGGAACATGAATGTCTCTTTCCCTTTGGAGTTATACATTGCCATTTTGTTATAATATTTAAATACTGTGAATTAGAAAAAATCCCCAGTATTTTGACAGTACAATTCTCATGGGTTGTGTGAGTTTTTGTGTTTGACATTGCCCCAAGGAAGAACAGCATGTTAATTTTACATTCCATGAAAGTTTTAGGTAAAAGACAATGAACCAGGAAGTTTCTGTGGATGAACAGTTGATTTCATCTGTCAGGAAGTGATATAAGCACATCTTGATGGCACTCTTAGTTTAGTAATGGGAACTGCTGAAGGATTTTTCACATAATTTTGAAAGCCTTTGCAAGAGGAGCATCAGAAACAAATGAGAATGGGACAGTGAAGTCAGTGGAGCTAGAAAGGCAGGATGATGAAGAAAGGGAAAAGACCAAAGGACAATCTGAAGACATAATACCTCACACTGTCTTTTGTGTTAATGAATCAAGATAATGAAAATACTGTAAATAATACACACACATAGATATATCTCATAGAATAGAGATATTACAAATATATGTAAAACATCATGAAAATAGTTTGGAAATAACCAACATACCAAAAATTTTGGAGGCCAAGGGGGAAGGAAAACAGTCATTTGTTGAGGAGAGATAGGGAAGAACAGGGGAAGGGAAGGAATGTGGGGCCACAGAATTAAATCTGTGGTAGATACCACAGAATACCACAGAATCTCTGTGGTAGAGGCAGCTGAGAGAAAGCAATAAATCGTTTGAATTAAAGATACTTCTATTTCAGGGAAGCAATTAAGAGAGACTTTACAGGAGATTCCTGATACAAAACTGAGTTTAGTCTTGACCTGATTCTGTAAAAGCATTTCCTTAGAATATAAATTACACCATAAATACATTTATTTTTGTATTATCTTATTTGTCTCTCAATTGTTGTAACATAATCAAACATTGGAACGAGTGTATTGGCACTCATCAAATTTTATAATAAAATTTTAAAAATCTGTATCTTAAAACCTCAGAGTTATAAACCAATCAGCCTCTATGCAGGTGTTAAACTGAAATAGTAGTAAACAAGAACACATTTAATTAAGACAGTGCCATGTGACTCTAAGAGATTGACTTACAGGTGTAAGATTAATCCTCACCTAGCCATTGGGATCAAAGAGATCTTGTTCTTTTCTCTTTGGGAATCCTAATCCTGTGAATCAGACGTGTGCTGGGTTAGGGGGTTACTTGTTTTTGTCTTTAGCATAAGAAATACAGCCTGCTTTCAAGGAACAACTGACATGTACGTTAGAGCTTGGGTTGTTGCAGAACCAGGTGGTTTTGTCAGACCACAGACCCAGCTCTGAAAATGAAACAGAAACAGCCCCAAAGTACCAAGGGTTTGCTTTATCTGCTGAGCTGTCTTGAGGTGGTTACTGCTGTTGTTCAGACTCCCACTGCAGGTGATGTCTCTGTAAAAATCAGCTAAGAGAGTTCCCACAGCCTCTGCAGTTTACCCTGAGGTAACAGGTGTCATCTGTCACCCACACCACGCTGCTCTCCAGGTTCAGCTTGTCCGATCCTTGTTCTGAGATCCGTGGCATTGGAAGGGATTCCAGAACCATTCCCGTGCCTCAGGAATAGTGAAATAGCATCACTCCCATGCCCCAGTTTCTGGTCTCAGCTTCCCCTCTTCTGGGAGAATTGGTGGGGTTTTGATATGCTGCTTTTTTTTTTTTTCCCTCTTCCCCCCCCATTATAAGGATGGATTTACTTGTGAATGTGCAGCTTTGATAGATATATAACTGCATTCATTTGAAGTTTGTTTCAAAGCTGGTTGTAAGTAATCACTGTTTAGAGTAACTGCAGCCAGACATTTTGCCCAGTAATACTTACTTAAACAGTTTGTTTGACATTCCATTTTTGATTAGCTTTTTTTAAAGCCAATCCCAGTTTTTCAATCTTTATTCTTTAGACTGTAATTTACAACCATAAAAATAAAACCACATAAGCCAGATCATTTAAATGGCTGGATAGCCACAGCATTTTCCTGTTTGTAACACTATAAACAAGGTGTTTGTTTTCTTTTTAACTTTTGCAATAGAAAATAAAATTACCCAAGAAAACAGCCAGACGATACCCAGCATATGAGCTGTATCTCTATGGGGAAGGGAACTATGCTGAAGAAAACAAAAATCTCCTATTGACAGGAATTCCAGTTCTCTTTCTTCCTGGGAATGCTGGCAGTTATAAACAAGGTAAGTGTGTTGCTGAGTTACAGCTTTGTTACAAAAAAGCTCTCACATTTGTGCATTAGGTAGTTTTCTGTTTGAAATAATACCAGACAGAGCCATAACAGTTGATCATATTAAATGTCTGTTTAATTTCAAACAGTCAAGATACATGATTATTGTTTGAAATCAGTCGAATGGTTAAGCTATAATATTTCTCTGGAGCAAGCCTTTTGAAAGCCAGAAATATTACAGTTTATGCTGTCCTCTGGCAGCACTGCACCCTTGCTGTACTTTTGATTGCAAACATCTAGTTGGTTTTGATTTGAACAATGTTTAGTGTAGTTAATGCCAAATAAAGCATGACCTGAATTTGATTAGGAGAAACTGAACCATCTGTCATCTGTGATGTAAAGGAATTACATGCTATAGAAAGCAGCATCATCTAAGCTTGCCCTCTAGTTTCATTATTCCCTACATCTTTATTTAGTGGTGTTTTTCCCTTAACATCGTCTTTACTTTACATATAGCCTCTTTGTTTTCCCTCTTACGTTTCTAGAATCCAGATGAAGAGCAGTAATATTTTTAAAGCATTTTTATTTTTTCATTCTGAATACCAAAGCTAATGGTATGTGAAGTTTTGTGTTTCAGTGTTTACTTTGGTAGCTGCTATTCCTTCCAGTCTGGGTTTGTCAGACTGTTATTTTTGTTCCCTAAAATGTGCTTTGAAACAGTAAATAACACTCTCATGGTGTTAGAAAATGGATGTGTGTGTGGGGAAAACTGGCACAGTCTGAACCCTCATGTCTTACTGTGATAATTTTTCCTTATATTAGCACTAAACTTGATGATTAAATTTCCCAATTTCAGAGAACCTTTAGGGAGCTGGGATTTTTTGAGAACATAGTTGCTTAGCTTTTAACAGTGTTAAATATTTTACCAATAAGTACTTTCAGAAAACCCATACAGTCTTCCAGGCACAATAGCATCAAAAGAAGATTACTAACATAATGATTATGAGAGGTGCCATATGGACTTTTGTGATTGTGCATCAAATATTGCAAATCTGTGAATTAATGCTGTCTCTAAACACACGGCAGTACATCACTATGCAGGAAATAGAATGGTACTCTCAGGGCATCTTAGGAATCAAAAGGAAATTTCTGAAGAACAAACAAGCTAGGTGAGTTGAAGTACCACATGGTATAGGAGCAATACATATTTTAGTAATGTTCTTTTTGGAGTGGATTTAGGGAGACTGGCAATACGTCTGTGCATTTTGCAAAACTTTCCTTAAAATTAATTCATATGAATTCATACTTTCTTCAGAATTTATTGGGAGATAACATGGTTGTATTCTGATGCCTAGATGAGCAGAGGTGTTGCTATTGTAGTTTTCTTAGTTGTTTAAAATATATTCATATTGGCTGAGCAATGAAGGCAAGTGCTGCTGCTGCCTTTGCTGGCCTTGTTATTTTCATAGAACCATTTAGATTGGAAAGGACCTTTAACATCATGGAATGCAAGCATTTACCCAGCACTGCCAAGCCCTCCACTAAGCCATGTCCCTGAATGCCACACCTACATGGTTTTTAAATGCCTCCAGGGATGGCAACTCCACCACTGCCTTGGGCAGCAAGTTCCAATGTCCAGCCACACTTTTTGGGAAAAAGCATTTCCTAAGATCCAATATAAATGTTCCCTAGTGCAACTTGGGAACATCCTCTTGTCCTTTCACTTGAAAGAAGAGGTTCACTCACAACCCACCTTCAGGGGGTTTTGATGTGTTGCAGGCACTTTTGAAAGTGATGGTAATTTGTCATCTTTCATGGCCACTACAATGAAATTTGTAAAAAGCACAAAATTCAGACTTTGAGTAAAAGATGATCTGAGACAGAGGGTTCTGCAGTTCTCTCAACCTGTTGTAGTCTAGGAGAATCTTGCTCCTATGTGCCAGATTTGGGCAGACCTTTATGACCATGATTTGTTATTTTATATAGGCACTTTTGGAACTTTCTCTTTTATTTTCTTCTTGTGCTACCGTGCCTTCTTATTTGCAGCTGGTATTGTTCCCATCCTGTGTTGTCTCCATGGAAACTTGGGGATAGTTCTGGACACTAAAGGCTGTATTAAATAGTGGCCAGGGTTATACATGGAAGACAGGTCAGAGGCAAGACCTTGGAAAGTGAACATTTTCTCACTCAAGGTTTTAGATAGACAAGTGTCCTTTAGGGTTTGGTTCTGCAATCCTCCATACTTATCTTAGTGATATTTGGGAATGTTGTCTTGGAGTTGATGGCCTTTGAAGGAGTTTTAGGAAAGCATAGCAGTAGGAATGCCTCTACAGTTGAAATCAAGAATGCCCTCTTGTCCTGGTGGCAATAAGAAGGTGCAAAGGAGATAAGAAAAGCAGCCCTAAGGTGGAACAATCCTTGTTGCTTGTAAAAATTTGTTCTTGACATAAAATACCTCTCTAGTCAGCAGTAAGCTGAAAAGAGATGGTTTGGTTTTGAATGTCTTTTATAAATGGCTTGAGTTCAAAAATGGATTTAATGTACTTGTTTCTGAATTGATTATGTATTTATGTGTTTTTCTGCTAAAATGGTGCTAAGCAGTGGCTGTTGGACTGTTCTAATTGATGTGGTTTCTTTTCCTAGTACGTTCCCTTGGCTCTATTGCACTTAGAAAAGCAGAAGATGTTGACTTCAAGTATCATTTTAATTTCTTCAGTGTCAACTTTAATGAGGAGTTGGTTGCATTGTATGGTGGTAGCCTGCAACGACAGACCAAGTTTGTGCATGAGTGCATAAAAGTAATTCTGAAGTTGTACAGGGTAAGTAGTGACAGGTGCTGAGTAATGTACTTCCATTTGGGAATGGAATTCTGGCTGCCTTTCCTGCTGCAAAACTGAAGAGTGATGAGTAGAGGAGGGAGACTTTAAAATGTGTGTAGATATTTGAAGGTGACAATAATGCAATAGAGAACTGCTTTTCTTTAAGAGATTTTTTAGTACTTGTGACAACCCCAAAGCTTTGGTGACGTTCTGTGTTGTATTTCTAAATAAGTCCATGCACAATGGATGCCTTTTTCTAGTAGAGACATAAATGTCTGTAGCTTATTAAAATATTCATGTAGCATTGCCTTACAGCCAGTTTTCTCTGGAAAAGTTCTTTGATGTCCTCTGTCCTAAAAGTCTCAGAAATTAGAATAAGCTTAAGTATATTAAGCTTACACAAGCTAGCTACACAATGTTTCCTTTTGAGCTGGATACTTCATATTAAGCACATTTTCATGAGATAGCAAGTAAATTTTTTTTCAGTTTGTAAGCTTGTTAAGTTGATGCTAATTAATGTTGTCCTTGAAAGACCATAAGCTAATTTGGGGGGGGATAAAATCTACAGCTAATAAGAACAGTTCAATGTCAGATCTGTTTCTGATGTGTCTGATTGCTCTTTGCTGAAGGATCGAGAATTTGCACCGAGCAGTGTAGCAATAGTTGGGCATTCCATGGGTGGTCTTGTTGCAAGAGCATTGCTCACTCTGAAGAATTTTAAGCCTGAACTTATAAACCTGCTCATTACACAAGCCACACCTCACGTTGCACCTGTAATGCCTTTAGACAAGTATCTTACCGGTGAGTATTGCAGTTGTCTAATCACATTGTATTTCTTTATTGAGCCTCTCGAGCTTTAGTGGGGACATTCTTCCAAATCAACAGCAAAATGTGCTGCTTTATTTACTGTAATGAATCTGTTACTTTGTTACTCAGGTAGTTGAGGGTGCCAGGATACTCAGAGAAAGTGTCATATAAAATGGATTATGTGGACTTGAGTTTCTGTGTGAGGCCTGGAGCTTTCAATAATTGGTAATTTAATAAGTTGCAGGGCATGTTGCTAAATTTGTAAGCTTTCCAGTGAATGACGTATTTTCTTTCTTTTTTTTTCTCCTTTTTTAAAACTTGACCTCTGTAATGACTTTTATCTTTGTCGAATGAGACAGTGTTAGTTCCGTAGAAGGTGTTAAATGTAATATTTGTCATACCCAAACGTTGTAGAGGTGAGAATATAAATATAGATGTATTTACATATTTTAAATTTTTACAAAGAAAGATCATATTTTCCCTCACCTAAATAACTGTGGCATAAAAATAAAGTATAATCATTACACGTGTAGTAAGCACTTCCTGTAAAGCTAGATTTGATTAAACTATACTGATTAAATATGTGTTTAGTGATAATTGTGCTGCTACATGTAGATACTGAGGGAATTGGTGAAGGAAAGAGAACAGACATTAATTCTCATTATTCTCTGTGACACCCAAGAGGAATGGATTATCTTTAGCTGCTGGATTTGATTTATTGTGCTTGTATTAATTCTCTATCCTACAGTTGATTTCAGTGCAATGCTTCTTCCTTACTGACTGTTTCTGGACTTCAAGTAAATGTGTATCTGTTTTTCAAATAAACCTATGGATTGCTGCTCTAACAATATATCTGCTCAGCTGATACAGAAAATGTATCTGTCTTTCCTAACCGCTACCTCTTCATGTTAAAACAATCATTTTCCTCTATTACATGAATCAAGTGATAATCAGAGCTCAAATATATCCAGGGGGGCTAACAGAAACTTTTAGTTAATGTTTATATAGCTCTTTTTTGTGTATCAAATAGGCTTATGGGAAAATTTTGATTGATTTTAATATATTTTATAGATTTTTATACAGCTGTAAACAATCATTGGATTCTAAAGGCCCAAGATTTAAGAAATTTAACTACCCTTTCTGTGGCGGGAGGATTCAGAGATTACCAAGTTCGTTCAGGACTGGCTTTTCTACCAAGATTGAGTCAACATGACAGTGCCTTATCTGTTGTGGTAAAAAAGAAAACTGTTTTTTTTGGTTTTGCATGGAACTGTGTTAGATAGTTATTTGTGTAATGCATGTATCAGTGTCTATATGGGCAGCATAGTGTAAATAAATATGAAAATACTGCATGTTAAAACACTAAATGGATACTGTTTGGTTATAAAACCATAAATAGTTGATGTAGTCAAAGTGAGCCTCCACTAGAGGAGTATGTGTGGCACTGATTGGAATAATCTATCACTTGGTACTGTTTCTTCTTACCACCTGCTTGCACTTCTTCTGTTCCAGAACTCAAGTTTTATTTTCCCGTGTTTTTGCAAGAGATGTGTATAGGGAGAAAGGTGAATATGTACTATAGAGGTAGAGTGTTCTGTTATAAAAGAGAGCCCTGGCATGGCATCTTCTTTTTGTATTTGTTGTTTTTAAAAGAATTTAAGAATAGAAAGGATGTAGAGGATCATCAAGTCAGATTTTCTGCTTTTTGAGGCATCTATCCTTCCAAAATTAATTAAGGGTCATCAGAAAGTATTTAGGTTTGTTGTTCCACCCCCTCTGCATCAACTTGTTCCCTACATGGAGAAGCTGGAAAACCCTCATAGGACTGGAGAAAATTTGTAATTTCCAACTTCCATTTACTGCAGAAGCCAGTTTTTTAATGCCTTTCTTCTGACATCTGCTTAAAATGTTACATGAAATAGCTGTCATTCCCTTGGTGTTTACTTCCCTGTGTGTTGTACAGAAAGCTGTCTATAAATAAGCTCAGCTCAGATCCTGCTAGGCTAAGAGGATTAACTCTGCATTCCCTTTGTCCTAGTAACCCTTCTCTGCATCTGCTCTACTTTCATTTCTCTTGAGTGTTGGTGACCAGAATTTTGCATGAGAGCAGTGGTACCAGTTCTTTCTGGTTTTTGTTGTTTAGTTTTGGAGGTTGTATTGTGGTTGTTGCTGTTCAGTTTGGTTTTTTTCCTTCCCATGAGAGATGCATTAATAGGTCATAGCTTATTTGATTCACATTGAGCAATAGGTTGATGAGTTCCATTTGTGGAGATTTTTTTTGATATTATTAGTCCCTAAAATGTAATATATGGAATCCATTTAAAGCCAAGTAATAGCTTCAGACTGTCCAGTTTTTACTTTGTGGTGTTCTGATGGTTCTCTCTGTTGGGGACGCCCTTGGTTTCTCAACGGCAGCTTTTGTTGGTATGCTTCTATTCTCGTGTGCCAGGATCAGTTATTAAAATAGTAAGATTAGTCATAGAAGCAGTCTTTGAAGAAATTTTTGGTAAGTTTCCTCCACTCCCATTTTCTGCTCTTTCACCACTGGTCTCTGCTATCTAACATAGATAATTTGGTAAATTTGTTTTATTATTTTCATCTTGTCACATGCATCAAAGCTTACAAGATTGGTGATTGAAGAAGTTATTCTGTTGTACCCTAAGCCCTGAAACTCTTAAGATAAAGGCTGATTTTTATAATAATTGTGCAAATACGTTTAAATAAGGAGGGGAAAGGTTTCCATATAATTTTAGAATGTTGAGTACTAACAAAAGCTTAACCTTTTTCTTCACCTAAACAGAGCTCAGCTGTGCCTAGAGCTTGGGCCTCAACTGACCATCTCTCCATAGTGTGGTAAGATAATGGAACAAAGGTTAATTGAGTGACTGTGCATAGCTCTCTTCTCTACTGTTATCACTTTCTACCATAATTTAACTTCAGTTTAGTATTATGGTGAAGTCTCTTCTGACCAGTTTTATCACCCTGGATCTTTCCTTTATAGATTTAATTTTACTTATTCTGCCTTCTAGGTGCAAAGAACTGATCCTGGCTACCATTAGAGCTTTCTTTGATCTCATAGATGAAAACACAAGGCAGGTCTGTATATTTACCCATCACACTTTCTTCTCCCATCTCAGAATGTTTAATCAGGATAAATATTTTCCTATTATACAGAAAACTTTTTTTTGCTTATTCTGAGTCATGCTGAGAAAATCGCATCCATTTTGTACCAATCACTGAAAAATCCCTTTGTGGTGTTTGACCAAAGAGTCAGAAATAACAAGATGTTAGTTCAGTTTTCATTATTGACTGCTTGATGCTGTATAGCTGAGTTGTGGGCTGAACATTTCTTCCATAAAGCAGCAGGGTCAGTTGACCTTGTACCAGGATGAACAAATTTTGTTAGATGTGTAGCTGTGAATTTGACCTTTCAATGTGTACATAAGAGCAGAGTGCAAGACACAGAAGAGGAAGGATTTCAGATGTTCCTTCTGAAGCTGGTTGGGAAAGACTCCTTTAGTTTTTCATGTATACTTCAATGTGTAATTTAGAGGGACAAAAAGAGGAGTACAGTTGTTCTGCAGCACTGACTGTGCTAGAGGGTAAAACTTTCCAGAAATCAGTTGTAATGGCCACAGTTTTGGAAAGTGGAATAGACGAAGATTAGGCCTGGAAGGTTTATTTGGAAGAAGCAAAACCATCAAACAAAAAATCCCAACCCCAAACAAAAGTGCATCCCAGTGTATCTATACAGCTGGATATGTGAACTTAGATTAGCCTAAATGTGAGAATTTTTCTTAAGCTCTGGCCTAAGTGTCCTTTCAGGAGAAATGCATCCGTGTCTATAAGTAAAGTTTAATAGAATGTTTCCTGCTGTTACGGGTAGGTGAGAATGTAAAACTGCCGAAAGTTTTGGCTGTGCTTTATAATGTGTAGATTTTCTGTATTGCAGTGATTGACTATTGATGGCACTACAGAGTATTGGATTCAGGACAGAAAGGGGCTCAATGACTTCTAACAATCTTTCCTGCGTTCCACTCACAAAACTGTATTGCTAGCTGTGATCATGAGATGATCTTAAGTCACACACTTTGGGAAAAAATTGATGATGTGCTCTTGTTTTAGATAACTGAGGACCCAAAGAAGAGAATGTCTGTACTGAATCACCACTTTGTGAGACACCCTGCAAAGATGTTTGAGGAAAATCCTGAAGCTTTTACAAACCTCACAGGTATGCAGCAGTTTTCTTTCAAATAGGATTCAGTGATACTCCTTTGTTAATGATATATCTTTTCACTAAGTTTCAAAATACCCTTCTGTCCTTCAGACAGGAACAAAGACTGGGACTGTTTCTAATGTTGCCTCATCATTAATCAGTCACCCTATAATTACACAAATAATTTTTTGGTTTGTTTGTTTTGTTGCCTTTATTTTGTTTCAAGATCCATGGGGTTTTTATTTTGCCATTAGTAATTAGTAACAGGATCCTAGGGCTTTATTGTTTCCTGTGTAACTGATGATAACTGTTGCATGTAATTGTAAGCAGTAGCAATCCTCTGTTGATTAAATCACATAAAGTTTACATCCATGTTGAGATAGGAGATAAGACCTTGGTGATCAGTAAAATACAAGATTTTGGATGTAAGGACAATCATTCTTGTAGTGCAGCATACTAAAATATTTATTTTTAGGAGCTTTCATGTGGATTACAGTCAAAGGCTCAAAATGGACTTATTCAGTTTACAATGTAAGTATTTTTTCTCCCATTGTGTTCTTACGTTTATATTTTTATTTTTGTTTTGGTTGTTTTGTTGGGGGGGTTTGTGGTGGTTTTTTACTTATGAGCTTTTTTTTTTTTTAAGGATTCTGATGGAAAATATTTCTCATTTCCTCTTGAAAGCCACAGAAAATCATACAGTCATGTTTACTGTGAAAATAGTATGTTGGTGAGAAAATGCTTCTTTAATGTCTGGAGCTGGTTTATAAAGATGTGGGTTTTTTTAACTTCCATTTGCTGCAGTTTTAAGACAGTTAATGAGCAGCTGTTGAAATTGCTAGCATCCATTTACAATCACAGCCTAATGCATGTCAGAGGTACTACCTACTTTAGTGTGTCACACTTAGTATTCAAGATCTGAAATCTTCAGTGCCACCTGAACCTCAAATGTTTTCTTTCCAACTCTTCAATTTAGCTCTGCATTATTGGATTGCATTATTATTATCCTTTAATTTAGTGCAGTTCTGTATTGATGGTTTTGAAGGGAGAAGTTGTTTTTAGTACTGCTGTGTTTTTGCCATACTTCTAATTTAGGAAAGCTGTTTATAGGTTTGCTTTCCCATAATAAAATTTAAGTGAGCCTGAAAGGCTACAGAGATCTTTCACTATGCAGGGAAAGTGAATAGAAGACAGATGAGGAGACAGCACCACTCCAGTTGTCTCCTATAGAGAGGAAGCACCATAATGTGCATTTCTTGTACTTTTATCTTGAGACACATACATTCAGCCAAGTTGTTGTTGTTGTTGTTGTTGTTTTTTTATACAAGAATGAAATTAATCACTTGGCAAAATAAAGCTGGATAAATACACTTTTCAGAATAATGTATTTTACATTAGTGGCAAGAAAATTGAGATGCTTTCCTGTTTCATCCTGCCTGTCCCTGTTGCCCCTTCTCTCCTTGCCAAAGATGGCATGCACACCACCATTGTGAGCAATTGTCTGTGCTTGGTGCTTTTCTAATTGTCCTTTTCAGTGGCACAGTCAGTGCTTACGTGTATCTTGTGATCTTGGCTGTGCTTTGTTAGATTAACTTTTGCCCTTGTTATAATGTCTGCAACACATGCCTAGTACAGCTTGAGAGGCGGAGGGAGGTACAAAACAAATCTCTGAGAGCTGCATCATGGTGCTATCAGAACACTTAAATACTCAAGGGATGGAGCAGTAGGACATTAAATATCTAAAGTATTCCTCTACTGCTTAAAAGAGAGCCTTGAGATGTTTCTTTTAGTTAGAAGAGATTAAACATGATGTGTAAGGTGGATATTTTTAAGGAGAAATTATGAAAGCTTGTTTGCTTAACCTTGTATTTATTCATACAAAGGGTGGCAAATGGAAGTTATTTCAAATCGTTCCTAGAAACCTCCACCATTCCCTCTAAAGCTTCACCTTTCTGTCCTTGCAATTATAATTGCAAGATTATGATATCAGTCCTTTAATTATCATCAGTTTTAACCCCTGCATTGTTTGAAGCAATCAGTATTTTTAATATATTTATCAATGCAATCACATATAGGTAATGTAGTATTTTATGGTATCGACTTTACAGGACACAAGTAGCTGGATTTTTGGCTGCATGAACACTAATTCATCAATGTGGTGAGTATGAATACTTCCAGTGCTTTATTCAAATGGGTTTTGTGAGACTGTGTTTGAATTTAAAGCATATAAATTATCCTTGGTAGGAAGGGATTGGGAAGTAAAATTGTTATTGTAAATAATTCATGCTAACTATATCACCAGGAAAACAGGAAAGAATAGCTTTTCTTAAAATAGGTGATATTCTCCTTCATGGAGCTATATTTTTGACCTCCATAGCAAGAGCTGGAGAGGGACCTTTCACAAGGGCATGAGGTAACAGAACAAGGGGTAGTGGCTTTAAACTGACAGAGCAGGCTTAGATTGGATATTAGTGAGAAGTTGTTCACTGTGAGGGTGGTGAGGCATTGGAGCAGCTCCCCCACGGACGCTGTGGATGTCCCACCCCTGGAGATGTTCCAAGCCAGGTTGGATGGGGTCCTGAGTAACCTGGTCTAGTAGAGGGTGTTCCTGCCCATGGCAGAGCTGTTGGAACTAGATGGTTTTTAATGTCCTTTTCAACCCAAAACATTCTGTCATTCTATTTCTTTGGAATCCTGTGACAAAAGATGTCAAATGTTACACAGAGCCTTCAAAGGAGTGGATTAAAGCATCTTTTTTTCTTGTTTCAAAATTGCTACTGTCATAAAAGTATTTAGAAGGGTAGGTGGTTTAGTGGTTATTTGTTATGACAGTCATTACAAAATGGATTTAAAACATTGTCTTAGCTTACATTTTTAAAATAAACTCAAAGTAAATTCAATCTACTCTTCAAATTAGGGAAAGCTTTCAGGCAAAATTGAACAAGCAAAGTACTTACCTGTTCTGGGATCACTGAGGTGTACAGCCAGAGTCTTGCCTCCAGCAGATAGCCACATGTCACAATTTTTCCTGATCCAAGAAGTTGGCTGTTACTCCTTTGTATAACTTGGATCAGCATGAAGTGTATGTTAGCCCAGTTCAGCACTGCTACTTAAACCTCATCTAATAATAGTGGGTTTGCTGTGGACCGTGTCCTGAGGTCATGAACACTATTTAGAGAAGCAGCAGTATTCTGGTGTTCAAAAAATCAAAACTTTGAAGTGACTGAACGGATATGTTGCAGTTCAGTGTGTGAACACTTTCTAGAACTGCTGCAAACTCTTTAACAGCTAACAGAATATTTTATTTATATGGTATATTTTAAGTATTTCCATAGGAAAATTTATGCTTTTGGATGTTTAACAGATGCTAATGAAACCACATGATAATTCAATGCTAGTGCAGTTTTAGCTCATGAAAAGTTTACATTTTTGTGTCTGAAGTTGCCTGCTAATACGTGCTTCAGGTTTTCTGTATGAGAGGGTTGGAGCCTTTGCTTGGTTTGGTTTTGCACAAACAAAATTTGCACTATCTGAAATTTGTAGTTTAATAAATTACTGTAGTGGCAGCACACCCAAATTTCTCAATTTAAAATGTTAATTCAGAGAGAGGGAGAGAAGCTGGTATATTAATCCACTGCCATAATGCTGGGCTCGCATAATGAATATGTTCATCCTTTAATGTGCATTAATTTTTACAGCCTGGAAGCTGCTGATTTATCCTGGAGAGCTGAGTTACTTCCAACCACCAAGGTTAGTGTGTACCTGACTTGTAGGAGGGAGAGATGCTTCAGGGGGTGGTTGCAAGTCATAGGGGAAGGAGCTGTTCTGTTAGGAGCATTGGAACAGGCTGTATTCCATGGGAAGAGGGTACAAGAGGGTACAACTGGAACTGGCAAGGGTCAAGCTAAGAGTATGTTCAGTAATGACTTTTCTTCTTCTTTCTTTCCTTTTCTTTTTTCCTCCCTTTTTAAGGTTGTAATGCTGAAACTTGTGGACTATCCTTCTTTGTCCCACATTGTCATTCAGGTGCCACCTGCAGTTGGCAATAAGGTAAAAAATACGACATGCTGAAGTTGCTTGCTTAGTGTACTCATAACTTTGAGGTGCTATGACAGGAAGGAAAGGAAGTATATTAAACATATGCTAAGTTTATTTGAGAAACTGTAGACCCACACTGTGGTGTGGTTTGAAAGTAGCTTTTGTTAGCTTCTGTAAGCTCAGAAACTCTTTCCTAAAATACCAAATAACAAGGCATGAATAGCACTTGAAATACATACAAAGCCACAGTTCTCAAATCGGTTCTTAGAGTTCTTGGAGATTCCAATGGTAATCTTCCTTGTTTTTCTTAATACTCTGTTTTCCTGAATGTTCATACCTTTGAACAGTCATTTGTCTTACCCAGGTTAGCAGAAAATATAGATAATTGAAGGCACTGGATTCTGGGAAGCATAGATCAGATAGCTCTGCAAGCTCTTAAACCTCAGAAGATGTAGCAGACTGAGTTCTGCAGAGTTCAGCAGTTTGAATCTCACAAATATCTTTGCATCAAGAGCTCTCAGGATCCCAGTAAGAGGGACATTTGAAAGCTTAGTGTGTTACCCATCTGGATCTGGCAGACCTTTCTGTGTATCCATCTGGATCTGCCATTTCCAGTTAGAAATGGCTGAATACTGAATTGGAATTTCCAGTCTAATCAGATCTGACATTGCTTTCTGTGACACAAATGCAGTCTCTGAGTCTCCGGTATAATAATCCATGATCCAAGAAATTATTCACAGCACAAGTGAGCGAGATGTTCTTCTCTGAGTGTATCTTCAGATAGTTGTGACAGAGGCATCTTGCAGTGAAATTAGTAATGCATAATGTTCAGGGTAAGCAAAGATAGAGATCACTTGGGAAATGTAATTTGCAAATACAAAGGTTTTATAGTCTTGTGCTTGGTTTAGATCTGTTTTTAATATCCTCAATTGCAGTATACTTTGGGCTGTGAATTCTTCAAAGAGGATTCCAGAACAGTACAGCTCCCTGTAACACATCTTTTTTCATTTGGTAAGTATAGCATATTGCTTTTGGAAAGAAAGGAAAACTAATATAACTAAACTTTGGATAATATATTTGCCAAAAAAGTCAGGTCAGGAGGTTTTTGGGGGTTGTTTTCACTAAAGCTAACACAGCTTTTGTTAGTAACAAAGAAGTAAGAAATGTGGGGGTTTAGACTAATAGATATGAAAGTGTGTAATTCCCCTGGAAAAGAAATAATCTGAAAATGTAGAGAAAATATCTGAGTTCTCAGAAAATTTTATCTAATTAGTGAAAATATGACATCCTTTATAGGGCTTTCTTCAAACAAAATTCTATTAAATTCAACTGGATTGCTTTACAATGTCCAGCTCCAGCACTTCAACCAAGTAAGAATGCTACTTAAGTTTTTAAGGTAATGTGACCAACTGTTTGTCTGGAGAAAAGTGAGTGACTGATATTTTTTTGTGTTCTAGATATATCAAGCTTTCAAAATTTATATAGACAGCCATTGCCAGTCACTCAGAGGTAAATAGAAGTCTTCTAAAGTACAAATTTATAAAACAAATTGTTGAAAGTTTGTAGAAACTAAAGTCTTCTCATGCAATGGAGTTTAGGCCATCCTGTTATAATCTGTTCAAATGTGTCTGTTAATATCTCTCATTTCCTACTTTAAGAAGGATGCATCAATGAAAATGAGGAATTAGTCCTTAAATGTTTGTTTTTCTTACTTCCCAGCAAAGGGAAGTTGAATTTCCATCAGGATTCTGCCTTATATTGAAAGTGTTACTTGAGAAAGGCATATTTGGCTAGGATTTTTATTTGTTGATAATGGGACTCAAATTTGAATGTTGAGCTACATAAGCTTAAACAGGATGGGTTGCTAAAGGACCCTGTTTCAAAAAAAGGAGAGTGATGGATTTTATTAGACTGAGGTTTTGTTTCATATCAAAAAGCAAAACTCTTCTCATAACTATTCATCCTTTAAACACTGATTCTCACTGTCTTGTCCTGTAACAGCCTGAGTTTAAAAATGTCATTTTTTGTTTGCTGCTAAGTTCTCTGATCTGCACTGCAATGTCAGTTCTTAATTAAGTTTATATTTTTTTAATGCTGTTCCATTTCAGAAAGAAAACCTAGTGTTTACAGACTTCATATCCCCTGGTCATATGAAGACTCAATAACTGTAGCAAAGTAAGAACTTTAACATTTAAAAACTTCTTGATATGTTTTTTGAAGAATATTTGCATCCTGTTGTGGTAATATTTCTGATGTGAGACAGTTTCTTCAGACTTAAGTGTTTGACTTCTGCATCTTTTCCTCATTTACCTTTCTGCCCTTGGCGACAAAGTTGTTTTGACTTTTCCTAGAGTAAGAATGCCTACTAATCATTTGCTTACTGGTCCTCACTAATTGTCTTGAAAAGGAAGTCAGATATGCTGGTCAATAATCATTGACCCCCTCATGAGTGGAGAACAGTGGCTGCTCTGTATGCTGGCTTCCTCCTGGAAGGCAAGGTTTGGATTACAACAGCAGCCCTATGTTCGCTTCAGCAGCATAGTCCTGACAAAATCAAATGATACAGTTTGAAATATATTTGTCACTTAGGAAGTTGAACAACCTGACTGTATTTTAGATGGTAGGAAAACTGTATTTCTAATTTATTTTAGAAGTCTTAAGTATACCTCACAATTTCCAACCCCCTGTGTTTTTCAACAGCATAATACTTGCAGGAAACTGAATTGTATTCTTGAGGATCTGTTCTTCCCATTTCTGGCACTCAGGCTATTTGCATGCTCTGTGAGGCAGTGTGTTCACTGAACCCGTCTGCTTTCCTTAGTGCCATGTCCCTCGATATTCAGAGGAGAGGGAATTGAGGATATTACATGGTTCTTTGTGACAGGATAAACAAGTTCCTTACGCCATTTTGCTCACAACTTGTGGTGACACTTGGTGTGGTAGATTTGCTTTGTGTGCACTTGTTGAAGACTGGGACACATTTGGTTTTTCTGCTTGGTTATAAGGACAGCAGTGACCATGTAAGTTGCTGTTTCAGAGTTCCATCTCTTGCTGAGATTTCTGCCAGACTTCACATTGCTCAGCCTCCCAATGACAGCAGCATGCCAGAGTTAAACATCTACTCTTCCCCAGACTGTCAGTATGAAGTGAGTAAAACGGTTTTATTTTATAGCTAGCTTGCATTGCAGGATAATTTTTGCATAATTCAGTCTTTTCAAACGTAGTTAATTAATCTAAATAAATACTAAGCAAATCTAAAGGTGGGTGGTTTGGCCTTTTTGACATGTAGTATGTGTTACAAGTATTTTGCAACAGCTGGGTTAGCACTGAAAGTTGGACTCTAAAAAAATTTAAAGCATTTGATTTTAATTATCAGTGGTAAGGTGTTGTACATTTTTATTGTGGGATTGCTGTGTTCTGAAACTTAAGTTTGTATCTTAAAAATTGAAGTATTTTGTACTTATGCTTACTGTCGTATGAAACAATTTTTTTTTTCCGCAAGGTAATTCTGAAGACTTCACTTCTACAGGTTCTTGGACAGGTAAGAAAACCTAATACTAAGTTGGTTTTTATATGTCAGAAGCATCTATAGAATTTTTTGCTTCCTCCCTTCCTTACTGTGGCAGTTCAGATTCCTTCTTTATGCCAAGAGGAGCACTATTCAGTAATCATTTTGCAGCCTTGTCCCTTGGCAAGGATCCCTGCTGGATGAATGTCAGGCCCCCGTCCTTAGAGGAGCAGAAAAGCTCTCTAGCTCTAAAGAGCTGCTCTAAATGTGGAGCATGTGGCTTTGTGGTGAGCTCAATATCTGTAGGTCACTTTAACTTTCTTGCCTGATGAGTCAGTGGTGTTAAAACTCTAAAATACATTTGGCATCAATTAAATTGGGGGAAAAAGTCTAAGTAGGTCCATATGCTCCTTTTCAACAAATCTTCTTTGGTTATCAATGAAGAATACGTTTCGACATGGGGATCAGTAAAAATAGACTGGCCATCTGCAGTTCTCTGGATCTAAAGAGTAATTAATTTGCAAGCACCTAAGTGTAGTGCTGGAATAAAACTGGCAAGGTTCTCTATGTGAATGTATGCATTTAGAGCAAAGATTTTTTCATTTTGTTGTTATTTTACAAGAATTTATAGGCTACTGGTATATTAATTATGACTTGGGAGAGTGGAAGCCAATTAATTCATGCATATAATTGCTTCCAAAAGTTCTTTGCCTGAAAGCATATATAACTATATTCAGATTATGCTTGGAAAGTGGCCTTTAAATTGTTTTAAACTTTAGTGAAATGTGATACTTGATTTTTTTAATACTTGTCTTGACTGGAAAAAAACCCCATTTGTTTCTAATTTGATCATTTATCCAAACCTGTTTAATTAGCTGCTTATGACAGATTCTAGCCTTTTCCATCTGTAACATTAAGTGCTATTGGAGATTATCAAATATACGTTAAAATTATAAACTGGATCTTTTTAAGAAGGATTTTCTAATCTCATTATCATTCTGACTTCATGATAATATTTGTGCATGTGTTTTTAAAATACATTTTTATAGACAGAAGTGAAATCATCCCTTTATCCTTGTCTTTCAGATAGTAAGGTTCCATGCTGGTGCTTTTCCAGTCTATATTGTTTCTAATATTCTTCTTACTTATGGAGGACAACTGAGCACATTGAGATCAACAGGTAGCTTTCTAAAAATCTGCATATTTTTATCTGTCACAAGTGTTTTTAGAGAAATTGCTTGTCAAATTTACTGATGAAAGACTAGATGTGAATTTTTAAAGCTAAACATCATTCAACTTATGGAAATACTTGGATCTGCACTCTTCATTTTCATTTTTTCTCAGCTGGTAGTTCTTCAAGGTTATGTTGTAGGAAAATATTTCCTTATTTTAAATTGCAGTCCCTTCTCTGTGAAATATTGGTGTTGCACAGTAGTTAAGAATTACCAGAAGTCCACTTAAAAATACATGTAAAAGTTTAAAGTGCAGGAAACACTGTTTCTTGCAGGAAGATGAGATTTGCATAACAGCTTTGAGCCACATCTTCAGACAAAAGGCATTTTTATTAGAATTCAGGGGGTGTTTGTAACAAACTCCATAATGTCTCTAGAAGCTCATGTGCACTATTACCTTTATGTGGGGGACCCAGTGGAGAAGGGTCTTGGTGGTGAAGTGTGCAGCCTTGCAGCACTCTTACAAGATATGTTTGGTTTTTTTTCAAGTCAACTCACCCTTGTCTGAATTTATATTTTGTTCTGTATGATCTTTGTTAAAGTCTGTGACATGACAGTAACTACAGATGCTCTCCTTTCTTGATTCTAGGCCAGTGTTCAGACTTCTCCCTCGAACTAGTTAGGACAGCAAAGCCCTACAAAGTAGAACCTCTTATAAGCATTGTTGTGTTTCTGCAGGGGTGAGTTTGCATCATTTATTTGTTTAAAACAGTTCCCAAAACAGAAATTTCAGTAAAACTATTGCCAGGGAGGAATATTATTTTATCTGTAGTCACTGTAAACACCTGACTGTTATTTTCTTTGAAAGACTGTAATAGAAAGAATGGTTGATAGATATCTAACTGTAAGAGCAATTGGAAGTGATAAATAATACTGCTTTCATGTTTTTGGCAGGTTTAACTGGTTTAGAGAGATATGGGAATCACTGTCACTACCAGAGGTGGATGCTGCTGTACTGAGTAGTCAGGATGCATGGTTCCCCCTTGTGTCCCTGATTCTATTTCTTTTTGGGACAGGCATTGCCTACTGGAGTGGAATATTTTTCTCTACATCTCTGAGACTCTTCTCTTCATTATGGTTAATTCTGATTAGGTAAAGCAATGTGATGATGTATAATTATGCTCTTCTAGATGACTTTGACCCTGACAGTTGTTTTTTTTTTGGTTTTTTTTGCTTCTGTGTTAATGCTTGGGCAAGACTGAATTCTGGGCAGAGTGAATTTATACATGATTTTAGATATCTGGGTTTGAAAGAAAGCAGAAATTCATGTCTGGGAAGAAGTACAACAGGAGTTTTGTTTATGGTTTGTTTTTTTTTTTAGACCTACTGAACTTCAAAAAGATAAGTTGATTACACCTAGAAGGCTCTGTGGGATGGTATCTCTTGCTTTGGTTAGCTGGACCACTTGTGGTGCATTTGCTGTACTCATTATTTATCTTCAATACTTGTTCAAGGTACTGAAAGGCTAAACATTTTCTATTTGTAACTGAATTGAAAATTTCAGGTGCTTTGAATTAACTCCAAGTTAAAAGCAAAAATCTAAGTTGCCCTTTTTCATACATAAATGTTATTATTCTCATACTTGAAATAGGTATTTCTAATTTATCAGTGTCATAATCTTGTAATTTGTAGAATTTTTCTTCTTTTGTTGATGCTTCTTAGAAAGCAATGTGTGGTCCCATGTGCCCACTACAACAATGCAGGTAATTGAAAATTTTAACTTATAGCTAGGCAATATTATAAAAACAAAGACTTGAAGAGTAAGGAGTTCTCAATTTCTTTTCCTATACTACAGCTTTTGTGTGAAGAATCCTTACTAAACAAGCAACTGCTTGTCTTACAGGTTGTAAAACTGCACGTGACTGTAAGAGCAGAGCAAAACATGCACAACAGGGTGAGTCTGTTTCCTGCTTCTGTTCCAAGCTGTGGCCAAAAATTGTCTGGCAAACTTCTGCCTTGCTACTCTTAGGTTGTGCTGCAATGGCTGGGCAGCTGTAGTTCACTTGCTGCATCTATGATGTGAAAGAGCAGCCAGGCCATGAGAGCCTAGTCCATCACACATGACTGCTGTTTGAAGTTTCTGCAGTGTGAACTTGTCATCTAAGAAGAAAACTCTTGTCTCTGAATACACACAGAATTTGTCTAAAATTTGGTATTTGATTATGCATGGCTTACCTTTAAAAAAAAAAAAATCTAGTAATAATCTATAGTGCAGGTAAAACTGTTTCTTCTAGATAGGCAGCCTGTGGAGTTTAAGGATTTTTGGTCCAGAGTTGACAAATAGGATGTATTGGATGAATATGGACTGAGACTGCAGTAAATAGGGAGCTCTTCAAAACACAGTGAAGAAGTGTTTGATTTCAAGCAGTGTGAACTTTATTTTCTGGGTTACTTTAAGGTATAGGACCAAAGATGGAAACAGGTGTGGATAACAGCACATGCTAACTACCTGCTCTTTTTTGCAAACATAGAACAAAGCAGTCTGACAGAAAAAGTTGTTGAAAGTTTTCTTTGGGCTTTTTTTTCATGTGTTTAGTTGAAAAGTCTCTCCTTTCATCTCAATATAAGTTTATGTTTCATTTGTGGAATATTTTTCTGTCATTGGAAGTTAGTATCTGCCAACTCATTTCTTTATCTTTGCTATTTATTCCTACAGGTGATATTTTACTCTCAGTTGCATTACTTCCTGTATCTTTCCTGTGAATGCTCATCTCTGATTTTTCACCCTTATGCTTTATTATTCCTTTTATTTTGTTCTTCCCCTTTCCAGGGCCACCTTTTCACTTCATTGGTGTCAGAGCATCTACACTCTCCATTCTTTTCTTCCATAGACATATGAACTATAAGTGTATGAGAAATTTCTGGTTAAATTTAGATACTTTAAAACTGAACTATTGAACTTTGCTTTTGATGGCTTTTTTGAGGCATAAATTGCAGATTTTCTTCCTAAATCACAGCTGGTGTGATGCTATTAGGATATTTTTCCCCTCCTCTTTCCCCAGCATGGCTTCTTACAAGCCTGTGTATATTTTTGTGACTTCTGCCTTTCATTTCCAGGATTCAGGCCACTCAAAAGAAACTTCACAGAACTCCAGTACACACACAGTCAAAGCCCAGAGTTCGGTGGACAGCATTCCAGAAGCAACACAGTCTCCTTCCAACAGTAGAACACTTGCTGAAGCTGTTAACAGTCTTAAGATGCACATTACAATCCTTAATTTATTCACGTGGATTGTGCTGCTCAACTTGCCATCTTTAATTTATTGGTTAAAAAATCTCAGGTAAATTCTTAAATTGACACTAAGGTGGAAGAAAGTTACAGGAACCTTTGAAGATAATAAAAATTTGTTTGATTCTTTACATTATTAGTTACCTTACAGTTTTAAAGACTTCTGTTGATTATTATTGTTTTCTCTATCCTATCTGGTTTATACTGTGGTGTAAATAGGTGTTAAGTGAATCAGTGATATGTTGAAGAAAGTAATGTTTCAGAAAGATCAGGCTGGGATGCCATACAGGTTTCATGTGTATTTTTTGTCATCAGCTCATGGATATTATTTGGCAGCCTAGTTTAGAAGTGATATCTTCTAAAATCATTTCTTTGCAGGTACAATATTAGACTTGATCCTGATCCCTGTAGATCCACAGCTGTTATTCTCATATGCATTTTAGAAATTCTGATGAATTCAAGTACTTCTGAAGTGAAATCAAGGTACTGTAGCCCAAGCTCTAGTTTTGCTTTCCTGCTTCTTTATGAATTGCCATTTGTGTGTTAAACTTAGTTTATGCTGTAACTGTTCAGCCTCTATAGAGATTCATGAACTCATATGGTTAAGTCTAAAAGATGAGTTAAAGTGTGTGCAAAGTACCCCTAGTTCAGCTGAGAGGAAAATATTCCTTGTATTTGCCACATGAAAATAAATGAAGTATGTGTTATCTAAGCAATTAGCTGCATAACAGCTTCTTGAAATGTGACCTTTTAACTCAGGATTCATTGAATCCTTTCAAGTGTCACAGAATCCAAATACATTGAGCAATTATTGTCAGACAGTTACAAAGAAAAGGAAATTCTGAAGGATTATAGTTGTGTTCTTGTAGCTTCCCTTATGGGAGTAGAAATATAATGTGTTTTTTAGTGGATTAAGAAATTCTGAGAACTTGGTTTAGCTGACAGAATATTTTTTGTTGAAATATAAATTAATCAATGCCTCGTGAATGACAGTCAATAATAATTAATGTAATTTATCCTTTTGACCAGTGTCTGTTATCTCAAGTGATCTAAACCATTAAGTCTTCCTATGTTATGGAGACCAAATTTTCAAATTAATATAATATTTTTAAGGACATTAACCTCTTTGAATAATTTCTCTTGCTTATGCATCAGTTTTTATGGCCTATTAGACCTAGTTGTTCAGTTTTAAAGGTTAACAAAGCCTTGAAATACAAATTATTTTGCAAAGGGAAATGAAACTTTTGCATACTTCCTGCATATCTGGCTAGAAAATTATAATTTTTTTTTCTTTGTATTCTTACAGTAAACTCTTGAAGATTGCAGCCAAAGTTCCACTCCCTTTGTCTGTTGCAATGCTGGCCTTTGGACGAATGCATTTATACAGAGTCCCACACTTTGTAACCTTCTCTCTTCTTCTACATGTGCTGTGCTGTTTTGTGTAATGTTCATTCTGTATAGGACATATATAGGACAATGCACCCTAGAAACTTAACACTGGAGATGGGAAAAATTGCAACACAGAAATGCCTAAATTAATATGATCAGTAGTTTACATTATGTGGGAAAGAGGACAGAACTGTGAATACTTCACAAAAAAATAATGGTTTTATTCATGTTGCTTAGAAAACTTTTCCTGGTGTTTATTTCGTGTTTCTGAAAATGGAGTGATTTAACTATGTATAAGCACATGACTCATATCAGTGCAACATCTCAATACTCTGCCTTGTAGACACTTTGGTATTTCGCTATACTGCTTTGTGAAAACAGACCTTTTCTACTCACTGTGCCATGCAGTGTCTGTGTTCGGAACTTGCATCTCTTGCAGGTCTAAAATATGCTGGTTAAAACTCAATACATTTCAAGCACACTGTGACTATCACAAAAACCACACAGCCAAGTATACTTTGAATTATTTTATGTTATATTCAAAAGCTGCCATATTTGTGTCTAGACAAACTAGAATGTACTGCTTATATAGAACTGTTATTTCTATCAAATCATTTGTTCAAACAGTGTGAGTTGAACATTTATGAGATTATTGCAAGTCTTACACATTTTACTTTTTGTGAGAGTGAGAAAAACAACACTATTCTATGTAGCTTTCTATTCAGGAAGGATACCAGCAGATTCATAAACAGTTTGCTGTAATGTTGTTTTAAAACATTGTCAGTTTTCTCTGGAATTTTGAAATTAATCCTTGGACTTTGTCCATATGTAGAAGCTAGAAAACATTGAGATATGGTATGAGTAAACAGTGCAGTTGCTGCACTCTTGCTAAGTAGACAAGGCATGTTTTTTTATTGTTGTAAACAGAGAATCAACCATCTCCTAATAAATTCCAATACATAAAATGAATATGTAATAGTTACAACCCTGCAAACTCCTGTCCTGCCGTAAAGTGCTAACTTCTGCATGTGGACAAATGCAGTAACAGTGGGAAATACTGACCATAATTATTAGCTCTGTATAAATTTTATCTTAGTGCCTAGATGCTACAGTGACTGCCATTTATAATAAAGCCTACAATAGCTATGTGTAAGGAATTCTGTCCCCCTATGTTTTGCCAACAGAAGAAATCTCAGCAGTCCTTAGGTTTAAATGATGTATTGATTCTGTGTAGAGATGAGCTTTACTACTTGCTTCTGTGTTAGCTGTCTCTGCTGTGTCTGAGATACCTGTTACCTTCATCTGGAAATACTAGACCAGCTCAATCATCTTATAGGAATACCAAGAGGAAATCTGCTGCTCACAGTCAATCAAGTATACTCTTGATAGTACAGCCAGCCTGACCCATTAATTCCATCATATCCTAATAATCTTGCCTAAAGTGCCTCAGTTATTTCTAACGTGTTGTTAGGGTAAATTCCTTTGAGCTGGCTGGAAAGACTCAATTCACACAGTGACTTTCCAAAATGAAGGACAAACATGAAGAAAGCCACGTGTGTTTTGTTTGCTTATATCCAAGTCAGCAGTTCAAGTTATTAGTAATTCATTAAAAGTGCTGTAACTGAGTAAGGGTATTGTAGTTAGCCAAATCACTGTCACTGTTATCAGTAATCTATGTGCTGGTACTCTAGTCTTAACCTTTTTAAAAAAGAAGGTTAGATTATATATAGTGTTTGTAAATCAGAAACATTATTTGAATAGATTATATCTTGATATTTTCTAATCAAATGTATGCTACAGTGTATGTATATAAGATAATTTGTGTGATGTAATATACTTGTAGCTAAATGTACCAGTTGGTTTAACTAGAAATTGCTGTTCAGACATAGAAGACTAGAATTGTACTTGCAAATGGCTGTGAATGAAAGATTGTGGCAGAACTGCATTAGGGCTGGCAAAGGGCTGTGAAAAGTGCAGGGTCTGATTTCTGTGGAAGATAGTTTTCCTTGACTTTCATGGTCTGTTTGGCTTACTACTCCATTTTACTTCTGGTTTTGTTTTGCCCCCTTAACAGTTTCTTTCTGCAGGAATTCGTTTGTTTGAACTATTGGAAATTAAATAGATTCAATATTTAGTATCTTTGATCACTTTCCAAATAGGCCATAAAGTGAAATCTACTGAATTACAGAAGCATAGGATAACACCAATTTTTATTTTTTTCTTTTATTTAATGATTTTTTTTTTAGCTGGAGTTCTGTTGTTGATTGTTAGCACTCTTCATAAAGTGGGTTCCGGTATCTTGTGTATATTCCTGCCTGATTTTCAAGTTGGAGGTAGGAATAGGTATAGTCCTGAGTCTGGGATCTCAGCTGACAGAAGTTTTTCACATCTCCCTCAACACTCCCTTTTCTCAGAGATGGTTTACCTTTACTGGGGAAGGGAGGGGAAGTCTTACTCCTGTTTTGAATTTAAATGCACTGTGTGCCATTTAATAGATTTAAACTGTCATCAGGGGTGTGTGTTCAGATTGTGCAGTGATCATGGACTGGACAAATTCAGCTGTTTGGCAGATTAGGAGTCTAATCCCAATTAGATTTGCCATATAGTCAATGGATGGTAATAGGATTAGAAAAAGAATTCATCCCATTCTAAGAAACTGTCTGAGATTGTTTTTCAGGTGAAATACAATGATTGTTTGTTGGACAAGAAGCTTCTGTTAGGTGAATCTGTAGTTCTGCCACTGTTCACAGTTATCCTTTCAGCAGAAACATAGGATAACCCTATATATATATACAGTTAATTGCATATATAAAAAGATGTAAATATTACTGAAATATCCTTTATTATGAGTGGGCTGTATTTATAAAACAGCTTTTGGCAAGTACATTATAATGTCTCTTACTACCTTTAATTACATTAAAATTCCACTTTATTCTTCAAATTTTAGATTAGCTAGACTATGTGGGAGGAGATCAAGGCACAAATTTTAAAGGTTTAGACCTCAGGATGCATTCAAAATAAGAACTATTTATGTGACTCTAATAATTTTTTTTTTTAATAAGCTATCAGAAACAAAATGAGGAAACAGGGTAAGAACTTAAAATACTAAATGCCACTAACTTTTGGTACAGCAGAATCTTTCTTTGACAGGGAGGGATTTAATGAAAATCTTTTAGTGATAGCTTCATGCCTTGAAATTACTCTTGAAGTCTGTAATCTTTTCTGCTTGATGTCATCAAACGTGTTCCTCACAGTCTCATCGTGCTCCAATGACACATGTAGCTAATGCTTCATAGAAAGTCTCCATGTGTCTGATAAGTAAAAACTCATATCTTCACTGGAATTACCAAATGGACCTTGGAACTGAGAGAATTAATATTGTCCTAAGCTAATCCTTTTAGTTGTGATTTAAAAGTTGGTTGCAGTGGGTCACATTTCAGCATCCCATTGAAAGAGAATTGGTTTGGGGGGTTTTGGTGGGAGGTTTCTTTGTATGGTTTATTTCCAAGAAACCTGCAGTAACTGGAATTTAAGTTAATATTATTTCTGACATTCAGAGTTCTGCCCTAATTTTGATTTTGAGTGAGCTAAGTAATGTAGCAAATGACTTAATATTAATTTGCTATGTTTCAAAACAAATAGATGAATAATGACAAAACCCTAAGCAGTACATTAGTAATACGTTGGAGAAAGCATAGAGACTGCTGGTATGTCTAAGTGAATTTTTCATCTATAACCTAATTGGGCTAACTTTAAAGTCAGTGATTAGTAAAATAAAATGTATTGACATTTAACCTCAGAAGCATTCCATATGTCAGTGTTTGTTACATCTCATTTTCCATGTGTTTCCAGTAACAAGTGATGAACTCACTTGGTGTTTTTTTGAAATCTGATAAATCTGATACGTCTGACGGCACAGAATAAAGTCCATTATGTAGCCATTAATAAATCTAAACATTTGAGAAATTTTCATTTTGAATCAAGTTTATTTCAATACAGAGTTGAGTGTGTTTAGACCTTTGTTGGATTTATACTTCGATAAAACCAGCTTTTTACTTACCTTTAATATTCTGAGCTATGAAAATGTTTTTGGGAGTGGTTGTAGAGTCTGTACAGAATTATGCTGCTGTTGTAAGTCACTAAGCTACTAGAAAATTGTTGTAAAGTGGACTGAATTCTTAATGTTTATTTTCCATTTAATGTTTTCATGGCGGATGTTTCTCACTTAATTTACAGCTTTGACTTTTTTGCATCTCTTTTTTTTCTGGGAGATAACCAGTGTAGCTTTTGTAAGCATTTAGCACTGTACTGTAAAATATAAAATTTTCATCACTGTTCCTTTAGGGGAGACATATTTTTATCACCAAAGCTACATACTTCTGTTGTATAGCCTCTAGAAAAATGTGTGACAGTGAAGGACAATTCAAAACTAATCTGTTTTTTAAAGTGCCATTTCTGTGGTTTTTTTTAGAGCCAGAACTTTAAATCAGAATACTACAATACATAAAGTCATTAAAAATTTGAAAACCTTTAGCAAAGACTATACCTTCTGATGTATATTTTTATTTATGGAAGAATGTGTTCAAAGCTTTTAATCAGTTTATCTATCCTCAAACTCAAGTAAAAAGCATACACTTCGTCTTATTAGTAGACACTGACGCTTTTAAAAATGAAATTTAAGCATTTAGAGATAAAATTCCATAGCTCTTACTTAAGCAAATAAGCTCAGCAGATTTTTTCATGAGTCCAAGCACATAACTGACTCAAATATGTGCTTATTGCCTTGTAGGATGAAAACCTGAGCTGTGATATTTTGACTTTAATTTTCTTAAGATTTAAGGTTTCTTTCTGCATTCTTAAATGTAGATAGATTTTGCTACTCATGCTGTCAGAAACAAACCTTGTAAGCATGGCCTCTACAGTTATTGGCAGGTTGTGCTCTGGATTCTGTAGGAATGTGTGGTGTCAGAGCTGAGTTAAACTAAAAACCTCCTAAAGACCAGGAGTGGTGAACATCAGAATATTTATTTGTGGCACATCATTGCAGCTGTCTTTGGTTTGCAGTGTTCCTGCTCTGTAGTGCCAAGCAGGATGTTCTCAGAGCAGGGGGAACTGTGACTGACCTGGGAGGAAGTGCAGCAGCTGTGTCCTGTAGACTCGTTCTGTCTGTTGAAAAACCAGCCAAGACCCCTCCAACTTAAGTAATTTCAGGGTATACCCAAGTATCAAATGTGCAAGTGTGTGGGTGTTTATTTTTACAAAAGGCTAATTGCACTATTTTGGGATCAATTCAGGCTTCAGTATTTTCCACCTGCTTCGCTCTGAGTTTGGAAAAAGGATTTGAGACTGCAGCATCTGACAGCTGGAATATTTCACAGAAGTCTACAGGTAGTAGACAGGACACATACAATTAGAGTGCCAGACCAAAACTGAAATGTGAAGTTCCTCACTGTGACTTTAAAGTTGTAGCTTTCTAGAGAAAAAAAAAATACATGTATATACTGTGCCTTAAACCAGTAAATGAATACACTCTAACTGTAGCCTGTGGACTTCCATAGCCTTATATTTGATTTTTGAATTTGACCAAAAATATTTGTGTGGATCATACTGAAACTTGATTTGGAAAAAGGCTTTAAAAAGTCTTTTGACCCCATTATACACTTGAGAAACCAAGACATAGTTTTTGTTTATAATCACACCAGCCAAAGTCAGAAAACATCAGCTGACCTGAATTTTCCAAGCCTTTCTGTTGTGACCAAAAGAAAAATAAGGAAGGAAAACTAGTTGCAGATACCTGTCTCAGCTTTGCAGTCTGTGTGTCAAATTATTTTTAAACATTTTGATCTTTAGTCCTCAAAAATTAAGAAAAAATATCCTTTTAATTGTAGTTTAAGCAAAATACTGTATTTAAGCCACTGAATAGCAAAATCTTCACCACTGTGAGAAGAGAACTAGACAGGGGTGGGGTTGATAGATTGTGTTAAGGCTCCAGAAGTTTTGAATACTAAATTTTACTTTTTGGGGAAAATATTAATATGGAAATCCCTGAAAATTCACATGTAGATTCTGCTTTTTGGAAAGCGGAAGGAAAAACTACTTTGGAGAAAAAACAACAACGCTCTTTTTCCTAATTCATTAAAGAAAACTAGAAATACTTCAGGTCTTAAAATCTTGTTTTAATATAGTAGAAGGATTTCTTACGTATATATTTTAATACAAAGAGCTCAGGAAAAGCCACCACCGGCTTTCCTTGTCTCTAGAAGATTCTTTGTGTGTTTTGAACAAACCTTCCCAAATTCTGACTTCCCCCTGCTCCCATATTAGCACCACATAGCACTGAACCTTGGAAAGTGGTGCCATCTCAGAGCTTCTTGTACTGTGGGTATTTAGACATGCACACAAGTGACTGCACATCAGCTGGTCACAGAGCTGGTTTGAAGCAACACACAGCAAAGTTACAAAAAACTTCCTTTCACTGAGCACCATCTTAAGTCTGGGTGCCACAGGGCTGCTGCTGCTGTGGCACAACCCAGAACACGCTATCTTTGTGTCTTCCCTGCTGCTTCCTAATGTCTGCTGGCTTAGGACTTCTAAAACTCATTCCAGTCACCTCACTTTTCATTTTGTGATGGTGTTTCAGCAATCCTAGCTATTGGTGATTTTCTAGCCACTGGAATATTCTAGTATTGCAGCCACTAAGGAGGTAGGACTACCGTTAAGGCCTTTATGTATGATGATAACTCGAGAAAAACTCTGTAACTTGATTTCCCACTGACCTTTTAATTGTTTTTTCAAGCACAAAGACCGAATAATGTTGGCCAAAACACCTGGTTTGGGTGATTAGTGGGGAGGGAAAGATTTGTTGGTTGTAAAAGGACACAAAACTTCGAAGAAAACATGTAATTTTAGGAAAAATCATATCACTTCTCAAGCAATCTGTCTTAGAAGTTTTTAACTCTTCCTCTATTTTCAGTTCTTACGTAGCTGCCATAAATCTGATATTGTATATGGAACTTACTCTTAATATTTACAGGTTTTTAGAGATGTTGGCAGGGTCTTACCTATAAATGTTTGAATAATGCTATAGCAAATTACTGTGCTTATAAAAATGTTTATAACTAAATTCTTACAGACCATGCCATGTATCATAAACTTTGGCAAAGCCTTTGTCTTGTGAGATGCTGAGAAATCCTTGAAGAGGCATTTTCAAATGATGTTGTAATTGCTGAAAAATGAAACCTTAGTCTTTAAAAACTGCATTTAGGTGATTTTTTTGTTGTAGTTGAGGGCAACTTGATTGGGAGCTACTTTGGGATGTTCTTACTTTGTTTGGTGGTTTCCCTGGCTACAGTGTGTACTTCAATTTTTTTTATTTGTTTGTTTTGGTTTTGTTTTTTTTTTTAACCTAAGTGTGCATGACTTGAAGTACATTGTATAGCAAATCCCTTGCTAAAGAAACACTTCTGTATATTTTTGTATGGTATTCCAACGTGCTTGCATTGCTACAAATGGTTGTAATTCACAAAAAGTGCCACTGCCCAGTGCTGCCCTGTGGAGTGTTGTTACCTGTACTGCTGTTGTACAAACATGCTGATGAGTGTTGTGAGCGACGTTTGCCTTTAGTCTTGGCTCAGGTACTCATGTGGAGCAGTTTGGTGCTTTTCCTTCTGACTTGTAATACTTGGGATTCTAAACAGAAAATAAAAGTAGTAAACAAAAGCCTTGTGGTTGGAGCAGTGCTTTAACAGGTGCTTCTTTCACACCTCAAGTAGAATGCAATGAAGACAGTACAGGATGAAGCTTGGCTCAGTACCTTAACTCCAACACCTTTAGGCTTCATGAATGGGAAATGCAATAAAATTCAAAGTGTTTGCTGAATAATACAGTTTATATAGAGTATTACATGTATAAAACCCATTGTTAGCTAAACTAGAGCATTTTAAATTTTTCCATTTAGAGGTGAATTGCATGGAACTGAGCAAGCAATGCTATGAGTATTTTCATCTTCACAGCAATTTAATTCAAACATACATGAACATTACTTACTGTGCCAGAAAGGTTATAGAATTAGTTTAGACACTTCGAAAATACTTGATTTATTCAAGATGTTTATCAAGAAAACCTGATGCTTAAATGTGGATGCATTAAAAAGGCAGCATCCTGACATACGGCTTTGACCACATTTGTTAAACTTAGCTACTGTCCTCAAAAACGAGAATGCAATTTAATTCAGTCAGTGTAAGTATACTAATAGTATTTTAATATGAATGTGTTCTGCTTATATTTGACTTTCTGAAGGAAAGAATTGAAATTACTAAAAAAAGACCAACCCACACATTAAAATGAGCACTAGGTCTAAACAGACTTCTTAGCTCCAACAGTTTCTCAGAGCTTTAGCTCAGGAAGCAACAATACAAGTGTGTAAGGATATTTTTTTTTAGACAGCTCAGAGAAAATATATGCTAATTAAATCTCTTGCATATCTGCATGCTTCATCAGTCATCCAAATTGCCTGAGTTCCTCCAGTAATAAAGCTTGTTTCATATTTGAAGATGACTTTGGGATGTTTTACTGGCTGAATATGCTGCGTATCCCCAGTTCTTTGTAAAGAAATCAAAGGAATAAATTATTCAAGGAGGAAGAAAAGAGGTAGAAGAAAACTGCTAGCTCTTCTGGCTTTTTTTTAAATTCTCTTTCCAAAGCTAAAGAAGAAACTAAAATCTAATCCTAAGCTCTAAATCTTGCCTTTTCCCCTTTCTGTCATTTTATCTACAGGAGCATTTTTCTACTTCTAGCTGAAATAAGTATCTACCTAGAAGATCAACAAAGACAGTTCCCTTATGCTGGGACCTGCCTTTTTCAAGTTATTCTGGTGCTAATGCTCTGTTCTTGATGAGTACCCTGTATGGAAGTTGAGTGTCATGTTGATGGGGCTTGATGGATTTTCTTTTTTTTATGTATGATTTTTTTTAAAAATCCAAATATCCAGAATAATAAGCTGGATAAATTGTCTTGAATTTTTATATGCTATTGTAGTCATGAAAATAACACTGCTAAGATTTTGTTTACTGTGTTGCTAATGATGTTTGGATGTCCAAAACTTCACCTTCCTGGAAGGGTGGTGGTATTTTTATTTTTAAAAAAGCAAATTTTAAAGCAAAATTTTTATTTTGCTTTCAAAATTTAAACCAAAGAAAAATGTAAAGTTTCTAGTCAGACATAAACATCTATACTCTGGAGTAAGGTGATGGTCAAATATTTTTAATTTTAATATGTCTATTTAGAGATACATTTGATGTGATACTAAATCGTGTATCATCTATGTAGACGAGAGAAGAGTGCAGTAAAACAATAAAAAATATGAGCAGCTTTGGTATGAAGAATGCTATGTACTAAGGCCAAGGTAAATTAGCAGAGTCCTCCTTGCAGCCTTTGTCTTAGTTTCTAGTGTGACAGAAGGATATTAACTGCTGATAAAATCAGGGTAGGAAAACAATGCTTCTATTAAAATCTTGTAATTTTGAATATTGAAGCAGACCTTACTTTTCCATCTTTTTTTCCAGCATCAAGGAAGTGATCCATATCTCATTTTCTTGAAAATCATTAGTCACCATTCTAGAGATATGGCTAGTTACTTTTAACTAAAAATAATATTTTGATAAAGCTGTGCTGTTTCTCCTGGGAATTGTTTTAAACTTCCTATATGCCTACTACCAATTTTCTGCAATACAGCTTGGGAGGAATTTGTACTGCACTGTTCAATAGCAACAGGTCTGAAGAGCATCAAGGATGAAATTCTCAAGGGTCTTTATGTCATGGATGGAAACAGAATCATTACTGTATTTTTGAACTCCTGCTAACGTCATTGACACCCACCTACAGTCTACTAGCAATATAAGTGCAGAGATCAGCTTGATCACAGATGACGAGGAGACCAACCAAGAAGGGGCAAGCCAAAGCCAAATTCCCTGGTAAGCTTTATTTTAAAGAATGTGAGAGGGACAATTGCTTTTCTCCCCCTGAAACAAGTTGTGAAATGGATCTCTACTATGTTAGACCAGGCTGTATTAAATACCATTGTACTTACTATTATATGTAGCAAAATTTAATGCAATTTTAAAAAGTGAGCTCTCTGGATCTTGAGCCATATTTTTGCATTCTCTTTGTGGCACACAGAGTTGTTGTGCTGTATTAGCCACTGAAAATGGCTGTATGTAATAAATGTAAACTTACAGATTTAATGTTTTGTGTTGAGTGCTCTACTGGTCCCTCAGAAGAGAGTCCAGTGTCTAGAAATAGCTTTGGTATGGGAAACATTTGTTTAGAATAATTTTTTCTTCCAAGTACCTTAGTACTATGAAAAGAATTAATAGCACATGGATGTGATCTGCAGTGGGCAGACTTTCCTTGGATTCACACGATTTGTGTGTTCCCAGTGACAGCTCTGTAGGAGTTAAGGTGTATGTCTAATTGTCCTTCTTACAGACAGTCTGTTCATCTCCAGCATGTGGAAAGTGCTGCTCCTGGGTCTGTATGTAGTATTGGCTGTGAGAGGATTGGCAAAGGGTGCTCCTTTCCATCCAGAAGAGAAATGGAAGCCTCTTGATAACCCCAGAAACAGAGACCTGGTAAGGAAATGTTTCAAGAAAGAGAGCTGAAGTTCTGTGTGTTTTTTTGTTCTCCATGAAGAGACTCCTTATCATCTAAATTTAAAGACAAGAGGGGCCCATTAGACGTAATGTCTAGGAGCTGTGCACTGTGTATAGTCAATAACCATTTCTCAGTCAAGATGTACCCCTTAACTGAAGAGACATTCTCAGAGCACAGTAGTGCATAAAACTTCCTTATATCTCCATCCAGTAGCTTTCATTTTTTAAAAAATTATTTTGATTATACAGCCATTTGTTTTATGAAACAGAAGAGGAATGATTACTATGTTTCTTTCAAATGTGTTCTCTGGTTGCATGTTGTTTCAGCTAATGGAAGTACAAATAAGTTTGCATCTGACAGCTACAAAAATACCACTCAGAGAACATTTGCACAGTCTTAAAAAGAATTTGTGAAGGAAAAGAATCAGGTTTACCGTAATTTTTCCTCAGTGTTTTAGGAAGCTTTAATTTCTCCTTTCAAGTGACTGTAAGGGGACAGTTCAAATCAATTGCCCATTGCTGACTCTCACAGAAATGTTTACAGAACTGTCCCTTTTGCTCTCAGCAGGGGTTTGGCTGTGCCTGTTAACAGCCCCTGTGATTCAGTGGGGAGCATAAATGAGCAGGAAACAGTTGCTGGTCTTCTGACTTCACTTAGGATGTACAAGCTGTGGATGGAATGGGCCTGTCTGAATTAGGTTGCCTACATTCTATCAGAATAGAGGCTTTCACCCCACAGAGGAACAAATATTACATCTAATTTGTGTCAGTAAAAACAATTAATCTCCATCAGTCATGCTTTATTTGTTTTCATATCCTCAATATGTTCAGTTTTTCAGAACGCTCCAGGCTTACTTCTTGGGCAGGGGTCTCGATCTCAGAAAGTTCCCAGCTACTTTCCCTGTGAACAGTGAAGGACCAGGGCCTGTCACGTTCTACTCAGATCCTATTGCTTCTGCATTTGCAGATTATGAAGAAAGGAAAAAATCTTTTCAGAACTATTTTGAAGGCTGAAAGATTCTGCTGATGAAGGTAAAAGGGGATGTCTTGTTCTCTAACTTGGTACATGTAACAAGATTCTGACTGAAGTATAAAAGCAACTTCTTTCCCAGAAGAAATTAAAAGTGTAGTACTTTTACCCTTACCTGAAGTGGGTTTTAAAATTCTTGAGGCAGATGTTTACAAGGTAATTGCTACTTAGATAAAATAAGAGATGGTGTTTGTGTAGACCTATATAGACCATGATTTTTTGTTTTCTCTTTTTTTCTCCCTTCATGTAGAGGAGAATACTGAAAACATACAGATAATAAATAAGGGATTTGAGTTCTATGTAAGGAATTGCAAAACGATTATAAATTGAGATCAAGGTTTCTTGTGACATATGCAAATTAAAATTGATTTAGATATAAGTTATTGCACTAACAAAGCATACATTGTCTTTTAAATTTACAGTAAATAGTTTTCTTCTGATTTACAAATAATTAAGAATTTCAAAGCATTTTGGTGATTTATGCAGTATCTTAAAGTGCTTAAGTTGTAATTAATACTTAATTTAGGATTTCCATCTCTTTCCTGTTCTCAGCTTGCTTAACACCTTCTCCCTTTGTAATCAAAATTAAAGCTTTATTATTCTTATTATCATGAACCATAATAAAGACTGCACTCAAATTTTAATACTAAATTCTCTTTTTGCTGCGTTTTTATGTCAGGAAAACAAAGAAGTACCACAGCATGTGTATTTTGTGCATGAAAAATAAATGAAAAGTGAATTCAGAAAGGCTGCTCTACTATAAGTCAGAACAGCAGTGAGAAAATGGCTGGTGGAAGTTCTTTGTCCTGCATAATTCAGGGTGGTCGTGGTAGTTATTTTCAGTGTTCAGAACTGTTTTGTGGGAACAGAGGTCCAGCCAGTGTTTTCATGACTTGGTCTGGATAACACCTTGGTTGCATATGGCTACTTCTGTATTTCTCTTACATATTTGTATATTTTTTTTGTCTTTTTCAGGTATTAACTTAAGACCTCCATACCAAGTGGAAAACTTCACAGCAAAATTTTACTGTTTTGACTTTTTTGTTACCTGACAATTCAAAATTTTCTTCACTGTCACTGTTTCTGCCAGTGGAATCTGGTGTCCTGCTGTAATGGGCATTATTCTGTCTGTTGACAAATGCGTGCTGTTTGGCTACTGCAGTTTGTGAGCAGAATTGTGCTTAACTGTGAATAAATGAGGAGTGCAACCGCGTGCATTTAAGTACTGCCAAGTGTCTTTGTTCAAAGCCGGTAAATAAAGGTTCCCTTTCACTTTATAAGAACGCGATGTCCCAAGGTGTTCTGTGACAAGTTCCGATCCTCTCTTGGTACACCACCTTTCTTGGTGACTCTCTGGCTGCTTGTGCCTCACGCCAGCCCCGCACGCCCATTGCTGACCCTGCCCTGGTCAGAAGTGCACCATCCCTCGGTGTGTGGAGTTACGAACCCGTCCGTGGCGAAGGTGCCGAGGCAGTAAAGCCGCTGTGGCCCCGCCGCTGTCCCTCCCGTCCCCCCTGCCCTCAGCGCCGAGCGCGGCCGCCACGCCCGGAACTCGCG